TCAACTCCCAGAATTCTCCCATGCTGGCTGGGGGAATTCTGCGAGTTGAAGTCCACTCGTCTTAAAGTGGCCAAGTTTGGACAACACTGATTTAAATGTTTTTGTTTAGTAATTTGGCTTCATGCTGATGGAGGAATAGTTTTGTGAAATACATTGGTATAATAATTTGCCTAAGATGCAAATTGTGCTTTATTTCTTGTGTAATTTTAATTTGTTTTATTTTATGGAACTACTTTTAGATGAGGGCTACCAGATCTGAGCTGCAAAAATCTGGACATTCTGCAGATGGTAGAAATGGCAGAATGCGTGTAAGCTCTAAGGTCTGTCAGTTATTTCTACTGAAAGACCAAGCGTGCCTTATTCATCAGAAATAATTCCTCATTACGATGACGGTTTTATTCAGCCTCTCACAAAAAAATCACACAGCTCCATACTGGTATGGTAATATCTTTCTATCTGCCTGCGTGGGATGCTTTGATGTGGGAATCCCTGACTTCTGCACAGAGAGATTAAGAAACCAAAGGAAGTATCTGTTAGTGGGAGAGTTCTGTTACCTGCAGAAGAATGGCAGAGGCTGCAGCAAATCTCTCACCACCCCAACTGGCCCAGTTTGAGGGTTGCATGTGTACATGGCCTTCCTCCTGATAGGATTACCTTCCTCAGATTCTGCAGATAATGGAAGAACACAGTTGGTTGAAGAGCATTGAACACTGATGTGATGACTTGAGATCAGCAATCATGCCTCAGAAGCTCTTGGGTCAGGGTTTTAGGTTCTTCAGAGTCCTCTCACTTTCAGATTCTCCAGATTCTAACTCTCTACCAGTAAATTACTGATTTGCAAACCAAATAGAGGTTGAGACATCATTTGCTCTCTCACCTCAGACCTTTTGAGCATTGAGATGAGAAACAGAGGTTCTCCCTTCACCAGTAGTGGGGAGTGTGTGGCATTGATGTATAGTTTATCTAATGTGGTAGATTTCTCTGTGAACTACACCACCAGCCATAGCCAAGCTTCATGTGATTGAATTTTGCTATATGGCAAAAATAAGCTTGTCCACATAACCCTTGTTTTTCTGTCCAGTTATGTGCTTGAAGTCGTCTGTCTGTTATTTCTTCCCTTTCCCTTTCAATCTTACTATTTCACAATCGATGGTAATATATATTTAAACCAAGTCTAAATTCTTCCAAGGTGTCTTTACTGTTTTTCAGATTGATTCTGATATTCAAGTATGATAATCAGTATATTTATATTTTTGCAAGTCTAATAGCACAGAAGTTCAACTAATCTCTCCCTTGAAGCCTCCAAGCTAGCCTATAGCTAAGTAACACCCTTTCTTGCCAAACTTTCCACTGATTAACAAATATCCTTCCCTCCTATCCACACAAATAGAATAAAATAATATGCCAGAACAGATGATCCACGATCATTTTGATAGAAAATGCAGATGATATAACAGTTCCATTGCCTAGATGATAAAGCACAAATCTGGATAGAAAAGCCCGAAGTGGGTACAATAAGGCTGTTACGGTGGCATCTGCATTTAAACGCCTCCTGGAATGACTGTGGCCATGGCAACATGTTACTAAGTTGAGTGGGAGAGGAAGAATGAAAGAAAATCAATTTTGAGCAATATCTATACAAACATGAGGACACTGGAGGCTCTTTGAAGCTGCTCTTTTTCTCTTGTGTACCATGGAATAGTAAAACTGAACACAGAAGCTGGATTAAGAGGCAGGGTTGTGTGAGAATTGTCTCCAATGCAAATAGGGTACCCCCTTGGGTTGCCAAGCTGGCCTTGTGGCAAATGTTAAAGGTAAAAAATGCTGTAACCACATTAAAAGGAACTATAGAGGAAGGGAGGCATATATATATCCCATTACAGATAGGAAGACTACAGCTTCAGGCACACTGCCAGCATGTAAGATATTGTGCTGGGATTAGTACAGTTGATTTTAAGTGCCCAAAGGGTTCTTACGGTCTCTCATCCAGGAGAAACAAATAGAAACAATTCTCTATTTGCATATAGTTGAAGAGTTCACTCTACATGGCCACAGAGCTGGCCGTACCCTCCAACTTGGTGATGGCAAGCAGGGCCAATCTAAGCAGCGGTGGTGACAGTGACCTGGAGATACTCATTCTTGGTGTGCCAAAGGGCATGGACACCCAGATTGTTTGGGAGATGGAGCAGGTCAATGACCTTGTAAGAGAACCAACCTGTGTCCTGTGGCTGTTGTGTGACCAGCTCTGTGGGACAGTGGCCATTTTAGACATCTTGGCTCTGCACTCCGGACATGAAAATTAGAGGGGCTGGAGTTTCCAGTCTATGGCAGCCCCGGTTCTGTTGCATCATTACCTCTGAAGGAGTCAGGAGCAGATGGAACTAGATTGTGTTGGAAGTTTGGGAAGGTGGGGTAGAGTGGGGTTGGAGTTAGTTGTCCCTTCTTAGGAGAGAGACTGGGGGGAGGGGAGAAGCATTTCTGGTTCACCCTGTTGGTAAGGGTATAAGAGTTTTTTTCTTTTCTTTTTTTTTAATTTTCCCCTCCAGCTACCTGAGTGAGAGTAGGTCAGCCAGGAGATGGTGTTTGTCTGTATGGGTGGGAGGGAGAAGATAGACTGGCTGACTAGATTTTGTGTGCTGAGTGCTTTGTAGAAGCACCCTGGCGCCTAGATCAGTCAGCTATTTTGAAGGAACATGCAGTTGAGTGTATGATGGGTCCTTTGACCTGAGGGAGGGAGGGTGAGAGATAGGGTGATGGGTGATACGAAGGGGGTGAAGGCAGGCAGTGACATACGGTGTGATGGGCATGGGGAGATGTGGCAGGAGATGGGGCAGGCTGTTCTCAGAGAAACCAGCCTTGGTGCCTGGTACTGATGCTTCATTCAAGTCACCTGAGCCCCACCCAGGGGCCTGGCCTTTGGAGCTTTGGTGGCGAAAGTTCTTCTAGGCAATACGATTTAAGTCTCAAGAAATTAAGAACTATCTAAGATGATGTGGTAATGCTTCTTCAGTGTTAGTTATCCTGGCTGTGTCTCTCCTAGGTATTGAACTGCTTTTCTATGATCTGCTTCTACAGTCAGTTTGTGAAAATCAAGAGCATGAAAGGGAGGAAAATCCTAAGCCAGTAACATAAACCGATATGACTAACTGTCTAAAGAGGGTAGAGATGCTATTTTAGAGTGTCATTGGGAGATAGACCTTCTCCTTTCACCAGAGGCATGCACTAACCCATGCACCCTGTCTGTCCTTAGCTTGGAAATAGAGTAATATTGTGACAGCTGGAAATGACTGGAAATGCTTACAAAAACCAGTAAGAAGTTGTTTGTTAATAAATCAAAATATAGAGTTGTGTAGTTCTCATTAGTAACTAGTCAGTTAATAAATCTGTTTAAACTTATCTCTCGCTCTCAGCCCCTACATATATAAGTCCACTTCTGCTACTGTTTTTATACAGCATAACCATCTGGAGGCAGAAATGGTATTTTTGAAAAAGCTTGAAATAGCTCACATTTCAACAAGAGATCTCATACTTTATAATCATGATCACCTGTAATAAAAGGAATGGGGTAAGGTGAGGCTTCCCCAGTTAACTGGAACAAAACAAAGGCATTTCAAGTTCTGTTTTCTGAAATAAGCCATTCTGACCACAGAAAATGGCTATAACGTGCACAGTGGGGAAGGAGAGAGGATCAATAAGCCATCAGTTTCTCCGTCAGGGGAAAGGTATCTTTTGCTCCCAGCCAGTTCTGTTGTTAGTCAGTTCACAGAGTCTCATTCTTACTGAATTATACTGTATCACCAAAGGTTGCAGATAAGGTACTGCATTCTTAAATGGTTTCCAGCATAAAAGCTTCAGTCGTATGGCAGCTGATAATATCAGTGAAACAGTTCTAGCCTTCCTGCCTTGCTAATACAGTCGATTTTTTTTTAATGTTTGGTTTTTTAAAAAAAACAAAAACAAAATGAAGTACGCAGTCCTACCACCAGCTTGGTTATGCATTCTAACCAAAGTCCAATCATACCATTCTTCATAATGGCATAACTCTGATGGTAGAGAAGTGGTACAGGAGAGGCCTGAGAGAAACCTGCACTTCTGCTAATCTTCCTAGGGAAACATATGGCATTTTAATGTTATCCACCATTAAAAAAGAAGAATTAGTTTTATATAACAGAATTAGGCCTGGTTAGTAGCTGGATGGGAGACCACCAGAAGATCTGTACCATGGTGGCCTAGATTAGGAAGTGGAAAGGCACTGGCAGAAGAAGGCATTGGCAGACTATGGAGGTGTCCATATAAATTACTGAGGGTTGAACTCGACTTGAAGGCAACTTCACTTTTGAAAAACAAGCACATGTTATTCTTCTGGGTGTGTTG